GTGCTTGCACGTCGGCGTCCGCTAGCCAGTTTTTCGTTTGATTTTCATTTCGGTTGCTGCTTGTTCTCCTAGAAGTTTTGCAGAAGGAGCCAAAGTGGGTCGACGACCAATCCATGGTTCAACCCAGAAACGGCCATTTCGTTGGTTGCGTTTCTTTTTCTGTATTTCTTTTATCTTTTTTTCTTTTACTAAAAGTTTAGCGACTATTTTACAGACTTCGGAAAGTTCACTCGACATAGTGCACACTGAGAAAAGCACTTTAAAAGTGAAACTGGCGGGACCACTGGAGCCACTAAATCCATGCATGTGTAAACTCACCTTTACAAATGTTCTGTTCAAGATCTTCCGGGATATTTGAGCAAAGGATTACAATCTTTCCTTGACATAACCCCAGAGAAAAAAGTCTGGAACTCTCAAGCCAGGAGAGTAAGGTGTCCATCCTATAGGACCAGCTCTCCTTATCCGTCTCTCCTCAAATGTCATATCTAGTGATTTCCTTGCTATCAAAGAATAATGAGGTGGGGGCACCATCCTGCTGAAGATTGATATCACCTAAGATACCCTTCTGTCCTAACTGAGAAAAAAAGAACATATGTGTATACAGTTTCTCAGTGTATACAGTTTCTGTTATCGTTGATTCAATAATGAAAATGGGTCTATATTTTTTCTCAATAGAGATTGTACACTAAACTGTTACTGATTGGGTATCTCTATTTAACGAGTTTCAAAGAAAATTCTGTGGAACTCGTTAAATTCTCTTGGAAAATGCATTTTAAGTTAATTGATATTTAACTAGATAGTTACAAAACTGTTCGCCATAGTGATAACAAGTACATACCTACAACATGAAGTTGCAGGCATTTGCAAAAATACTAAAATTACGATTTTGATTTTTTGCCTCTAAAACTTCAAGTTTTAGGGACGCTGTCTATTGGGTATATGGATACCTTGAACATGTATCTTTTTTTTGACGTTGTGATATACAGGGTGTTCCATTAAAAATAGTGGAGATTTTCGATGTTGAAAAACGGATTTTTTTTCATTCGCCCTGTAGAAGTTTCAAAAAAATTTGCAACCTACTAGAAAAAACTTTAGGCCAAAAGAAATCGAATGGCGCAAACCGCAGGTAGCTAGCACACCTGCTTCAAAAGTTATAAGCATTTAAAATGGGTCACTCTCGGCTGGGACACCCTGTATAATTTAGAATGTTTTTTACATGCTTGTTTAGTAAGTTTCATCAAAGTTATATTTATCAATATCTACCAAAAGCCCAAATATAAAGATAATATATCCTGTTCACAATCCGATGTCCACAGGTGCAGGTAAATTTATCACCTTTCCCTATCAAATAGGAAATAGCATGTCAAGATTTCAAAAAATGTATAGATAAGTTGTGTGAGGGATGAATGATCCAGGAAAATTCTGGATAGTTAGTGTGAGTGCAGTATTTAAGTTTTTTTGTTTATATCTCTAAAAGATGGAAATTTCAATCTATCAACATCATTAGAACCAGCCATTATCAAAACATAGTCATCCAAGGTAAAATCTTTTACTAATTCAACAATGTCTTTTGTAACCATTTCAAAAGATGCGCCTGGTTTAAGGATTAAGGATTTGAGAACATGGTCCACACCGCCGTACAAACCAAAGCTAACGCGTTCCAACATAGTTCACACGTGCCGTTGGCTAGCGGTGGAAATTCAGTATGTATGCTGCTTAAGAGATAGGTAGTCAAAATTACTATACCATTTCCAAATCCAAGCGGCAGAAATGACATTCAATAACCTACATTGTAAACAAACACCAGCCTTCCTATTGGTTGAAACGCCCTACCTGGACCAGTGGGCATGCACGGAGGACATTTGATAGGTTGTAATGAAAATGACCAGTTAATATCATTACTGCTGCTTGAATTTGGTTCAACTATAGGTTGTTTAAAAAATATGCTCATTTTTAAACATCAATATGTCAGAAACTAATCGTACGATTTAAGATTTTGCTATATGACTGTAAAGGGATAGCATCGAGCTATTCAACAATATACAACACAAGGTAGGTTCGTATTTTGAAAAAATAAGTAAGGGTAGCTACCCCCTACGAGGTGAGACGGGATAACTTAAAAAGTGCCTCATTTTGATTCCCCCTCCAATCCCCTGATACATATTTAAGATCTTTCTACTAGTATTTGTTGTCTAAGAGATATTCCCGATTACTACTTTTCAAATTGTTACTCTGTATTTACTTTCTAATGAATAAGATGTAAATATTTGAATAACCAAAGACACGATTCCTTCAACAGACATGAGTTATCTTCCTGCCGTTATTCAATCACTGATACAGTTGTCTAGGATATAGTTTTTTCTACTGCAAGTATAAAGTATAACATATTATCTATGATGGTTTAAATACCTCATCAGTAGTGCACTAATAATTTTCATAACTTAGTTTAAAATGAATGGTATAATAACGTCCTATATTGTGAAGACAATAAAATGGCAAATAAACAACAGAGTTGAAAACTTAAGTGTTACAATTTTTGAAAAACCAAAAAAACACACAGAAAACATTTATTTAATATACATTTATTCATTACATAATTATTGTGATTTACATCTAAAAAGACATGGTTATTTGATTCTGATTCCTTATACTTTAACACACAAAAAAGCTTTTTTATTTTTAGTTTCTTTTTCCTGGTTTACATTACACAAAATTTAAATTATACAGCTTCTCTCAGCCCGAATCCCTCTGAACTCAGAGAAAATTTCCCCTATAGTATTTTTTTTTTCATTTACCTTACATAAATGGAATGTTCTAATTTTATGTAAATAATTGTTTTATTACGTATTCTTGATAAAAAATAGTATTTTTACCTCTTCTTACTTTTTCTCTTAGATTCAATCGGTGGTATGTCCAAATTATTATTAATCGAAACAAAGCATGTTTACTTTTTTCCTACTTGTATTTATAAAATTTTAATGAGTTTAATAATATTTTTCTTTTTTTTTCCCTTTTAAATAACAAACAACTACAAACGTTTATTTACAAAGAATAATAGGTTTCTTTCTACTACAGCCAATCATAAAGTCAGGCGGTGCGATTTTTATTGGTTTGTAGCCAATCAAAATTGCCAAAACGATGCTCTGATCTACACATGATCATGCTCAAAAAACATGCTCCATTTCGATTTATGTATCTCATCACAGCAATCTACTGCTAACATTTTTAATCAAATAACATAAACGCAGAGAGAATCGTTATATATATATATTTTTTTAAGTATTGCGTTAACATTGATATTGGAAAAGTTTTATATTTTTGTTTAATCTACCAGAAATATTGCATTTGCTTAATTTCAGCGATATCCCAAAATAAAACTAAAATTTACTTATATCGGTATATATTTATGTATATTAAGTTCCTTTCTCTTTCTCTTTTAAGTACCCAATATATAATAATATTTTTGCTACAATTACAAAAAATAATCCTAGAGCTGCAGAATGTATTTACACATATTTATTTTTTGTTCATAATTATTCGAAACGAAATGAAAATTGTGCGAGTTGAAAAGAAGGCATAATAACATTGACGCTACAGAGAATTTTTTGAAAAAATTTGACAGCATTTGATGGGATTTTTCTGAAGTAATTTTATATGTATAGACTCAATATTGCGAGCTCAATTTTGTATACAGAGTGGTTTTGAAACTGTTCAGGAGACGGTTTTTGTATCTTGGAACAACATCTGATGGCATTTTAACGTGAATTCAACATCCAACCAAATGTGGATAACCCTGTTGGCAGGCCTCTAAGTGAATAAATGCAACTTGTTGATTTAAACTTTTTTATAAAAATCTCAATCAAATCTTGTCAAGATTTCCAAGTAAAAGACGTGAAAAAAAAACAGGTAACAACCTAGCAATAAAGGCTCTTAGGTTAGAATAGATAGGGTTTTCCTTAATTTTAAGCTTTTCTCTTTTATTTTCAAAACGTGACCTCTTTCGGCTGTATTGCCCAAACCTATTTTTTATTCGATATAAATAATATTCACGCCCTTTGAGGCCACATTTCAATTCCTACTACGTACGACATTATGGAAAAGGGTCGAAAGGTGCAATTTTCTCTTGTAATACTTATATAAAATTCAAATTAAATTTTAATTTTTCAGCTTTTCGCGGACAAAAAGTATTTGCCCTGAAAAGCCCTAAAACAGCCGCCTAGTGATTGCACACACGTAAAAAATTTGATATGATTGAAAGATTATTTATTGTGACAAATAGTGATAGTTAAGAAAGTTCCAAATTAAAAACGGCTGTAGAGTAGACAATTAGTCGCTTACAAACTAGTTAAGTACAAAAAAAAGCTAATCGAATTCAAGTTTACCTTAATTAAGTGCAAAACAAAAACAAAAACCAGTGTAGTGAATAGTTAAATTAAAATCAATTATTAATCATTAAAACAAACACGACAAATTTAAAATAATACTTTTACGGTTGAAAAGACGGAAATTGCTGCCTTAAAAACAGAAAAAAAAGCGATTAACAAAGACGTTAATTTTTACAACATTTAACTTAAAAATTAATCAAATAATGACTACCCACACGATAAAATAGTGTAGAGGGAGTACATTATACAACATACTGTATACTATATTCTCTAACATTAATTTCATGGACGATTATTGTTGATATCAATTTTAATTGGGAGCTTCTAAAAACACTATTGCCCCTATTTCGCTCGTCATCTAAATCGTCACATTTTTGAAGCAACTCTCCATTATATGCGGCAACAGTGTTTCTAGGCAAAGAATAGTATCTAGTGCTCATATGGCACAAAGCGTTATGGACCAGCACAAATTTGTAAATATGGTAGAATAGGACGAGGACAAATATTATTTCTTAGTAGTAATAGTGGATCAAATAATAGTGCTGGAAAATTGCCTGGTAATTTTAAAATTCCCATCCTGCCCTGCTGGATTCTACCAGTTTAGTGTTCGGCGTTTTACATTGTGCTGTTGTCCCATTCCAGTTGCGAGACGTTTTGGTAGTCCCTCTTGCGTTTTGTGGATGCTGGGACTTCTTCGTCGTCCTGAAAATGGACAATGTATAGAATTTGAGATGACAAAAATACAAGGATATGCATGTTATCGTATATTGATTATATATATAATATATATTTTGTTCGATTTTTCAAACTATTCCCAGCATATTTCACCCCATTTTTTGAACGAAATACAATTTTTTTGCCATTTTTCTCTCGTGACATTTTATCTAAAGCAAAATGCCAGCAGGAGAAAACGTAAGTTGTAACACTTGAGGTGGAGCCTTACAAACTCTCCGAAATTGTTTCTATTATCCCTGAATTCGATGGTGAATAAATATTTCTGGGAAATTTTATCAATGCGCATTCGCAGCGTATAATATGGGTGGCCCTTATCAAAAAACCCTTCTTGTAATCCAAATAAAAAATAAACTCTGAGGTAGAGCTTCCCAACTAATCAGCTCAAGAAACCCACAATCATACTCTGAAATAAAGCAACTTCGTTTCAAACAAATACCAGCTTTGACTTTCTTCAACATTTAACAAAATTCAAGTATTGAATGCAGAGATGCATTCTTGCATCCAAAAATCTCCAAATTTAAAAACGGCAGATGAAAGATAAGCCCAATCAACCCTTATTGAAATTATGGCATTAAACACCTCACTTACCAGTCTGGAACCTAGCCTCGGCCAAATAGTTCGAGCAAGCAATACAACAACCCTTCTAGAGGCACAATCTAGTATTCGGAAGGAACTCCAATTATCTTATTTTGAAGATCAGAAACCACAGAAAACTCAACCCACAAAACAAGACAATTATGGAAGGAAAAACACTACTCTACCTCCCAAATGCTATAATTCTGGTCACTATACAAATCAATGCAGACAACAAAATGTCCGCAATAATTCTTGACAAAACTCCAACTCTACACTAATTCTAACTTTCAAACTGCTCAAAAACCTTTCACAATTCCAAACAACAATGCTCTAGCTTCATTCAACATTCCACAACAAAGCAAATGGAATAACGGAGCACCAAACTAACCTGTCCCTAATTAAACAGACCAACACAAAAATCCCCAATTTTACCAATCTCTATAAAGAACCCACCATATGAATTGTAACCAATCTTCTAATAATTATTATAACGAATATCAAACTGATGATTACAACTTCAACAATCAAATTAAGGCACACAAAGATCAATATTCAAGTGATATTATTGACTCCGAAAATTACCAGGATTTTTTAACACTCCCATCTACCAGCCAATCCCCCAGAGAACACTACTCAAGACCCAATTTCCGAAATCCGAAAACATTGAACTTGGACAACATGGACCCAAACTTAAACTTCCCGGAAGCATTTTTCCGTTTCCTATTTGGTTACCGCTACATGGAGCGCTAATCCTTTAGGACTTGTAAAATTATATCTGGCATCGCGTTTCCTATTAGGCCAGCGCACATTATCTACCGCTACAATGGAGCGCTAATGATATAGGACTTGTTAAATTGTATCTGATGTCGCGTTTCCTATGAGACCAGCGCACACCCTCTACTATCGTCTGCAGACATCCATTGCAATGCATTATCGTTGTCATTTTTTGAGGTTAATTGGTGATTACAGGTGGTGCAATAATTTTGTAATATTTCTCGTTGGGTCTCGTTTTATCATTTCTGTTGATTCTACACTAATGCCAAAAATTCTTTACTAATGGATTGTCATAGCAGACATTTCAGCTGTAATTGCGAAACGATCCTATTCTAGTAGTAGAACGCACTTTACTAAGTTAGCAAAAAGTACCACCACCTGCCACTAATATTTTTTTTTCTGTTACATTAGAAACACTTATTATTAAGAAGTATATTTTCTACCGCGGCAAAGTGCTTGCCTGCAACTATATGGAAAAGTTTTTCATAAGTTTTTATTACTGCTGGAAAGAATTTTACTGCTACAAAAAAGTTAAACTCTGCAAGTTGTTTTATTAATTATTATTAAAAACCAACCCAATGTCGAAAGTCATGTAATAGCATGGCTGGCAATATGAGCGTAGTTATTTAATTTACGTGCGCTGGTCTAATAGGGAACGCGACGTCGGATATAATTTGACAAGTCCTAGTCCTATAGGAGTAGCGCACAATGTAGCGGTAGTCAATGTGCGCTGGCCTAATAGGAAACGCAATGCCAGATATAATTTTACAAGTCCTAAAAGGATTAGCGCTCCATGTAGCGGTAACCAAATAGGAAACGGAAAAATGCTTCCCGGAACAAAACTTTCTCTAAGTCCAATACTCATAGTTAACTCAAAAAACCTATACAATATCAACGACGCTTCAAATAAATACAAGTTATTTATCGACTCCGGAGCAGGCATCTCAATTTTTAAAAACAACATTCCAAAAATTTCCAACCAGATTCCCCGAAAATATTAGCATTTAATTAATCACCAACCAAAAACTATCTATTCAAAAATCAACCCTTGTCCTTTTTGTTAAAGGAAATCCACTTAAAGTTTATATTTACGATCTTGACATCGAATTTGATGGCATTCTCGGATTAGACTTTCTCCAACATTATATCAATGTATTATTGATTTTGAAGCAAGAATAGTTATTTACATTAAAAGTGCGTTTATGAACATGATTACAATAACGAGTGTGAAAGATTAGAACGACGAGGTCGTAGACAGAGTCGTTCTAATCACACGAGTTTTGTACCCATGTTTAAACGCACATGAGATGCACAACTTTTTATCTACTAAGCGAAAAATAGGATTTTTTTTCAATCATTTTCGTTTATTAATCGTTGTATCTGGTTGTATCCCTTCATTTTACCTTTACAGGTTTACCTTTGACATTTGTCAAATCACCAAAAATAGTTGTGTTATGAATTCATAACCTTGTCCATAACACCACTAGTTGTGGTGTTATGGACACCACTCAAATACTGGAAAAATAGTTATGTAAAAACGTCATAACCACACGCTTGTAGATGAAATTGATAACAAACTTTAAAACCATTAACTTACATAAAGTCGAAAACAAAAAACCCTGCTCGTTACCAAAAGCGACATGCAAAAAATAAACCTAATTTCCATTGAACCCAGAACCGAGAAAATCTTTAAATTAAAATGTAATCTTGCGAATACAGACGCTATTATTTTTTCCAAAGAAAAGGAAAAAGTAAAGCTACCCAACGCAATGGTTAGAGTTAATGAACATGGCGAATTTTTGACTACAATCATTAACGCTATAACGCTACTCCCAAAATTATTGATGTCTCGGACTTAAAAATCGAGACATTCATTCATTCACGACAAATCCGAAGACATTTTCAATTTTAATTCCAATTCAGAAAATATCGTCACCCTTGATAGAAAATCAGTCAAAAAAAAAAAGATCTTCGACTTGACCATTTAAACGATGAAGAACAACAACTTGTGTCTCAACTTTTCCGATATATTTTACCTTGAGGGAGACAGTCTTACTTTTATCAGTGAGATTAAACACAGTATTGATACTAGTGTTTCTCGACTCATCTTCACTGAATCTTATCGCTATCCCCAAGTGCACAAAAAGGAGGTGAAATAGCAAATCAGCAAAATGCTGAATCAAGGCATTATTCGTCTATCAATCTCTCCATGGTCTTCCCCCGTTTGGGTAGTTCCCTAGAAGCTAGATGCTTCAGGAAAACAAAAGTGGCGTGTTGTCATCGATTATTAGTGTAAGAGACAAATATCCCCTCCCAAATATATCCGACCTTTTAGACCAACTAGGAAAGTGTCAGTACTTCACCCTTCACCACACTTGAATTAGCTTCAGGATTCCAGCAAATGGCAATAGACCCTGCAGACATTCCTAAAACTGCTTTTACAGTAGAAAATAGTCATTTCGAGTTTGTCCGTATGCCATTTGGTCTCAAAAACGCCGCCCCATCAACGTATCAGCGAGTCATGGATAACATTCTTCTCGGCATCCAGAATGAAAGTTGTTTGGTTTACAATATGGACGACATAAGCTTTGTTCCAACCCAGCAGGAAACCGTAATATTAACGTCAGGATTCTGCGCAAAACCTAAAATGTTTGCATAGAAACCGAAATTCTTATTCAGAGAGGTCCGAAACGGTTCTGGGACGGTTTTTTGACGGGTTGGCACAAACCTATTATCGTATATTCACCAACTATCCATGAGCACATTTCAAGATTAACCGAAGTCTTTAAACGTCTTCGAAAAGCAAATTTGGAAATACAGCCTGATAAGTGCAAATTTCTCAGAAAAGAATTGGCATATCTTGGCCACCTTATTACTCAAGAAGGAGTAAAACCTAACCTAGCAAAGATCGAATGCATCCACAGCTTTCCCGTTCCGAAAACACCAAAAGAGATCAAATCCTTTTTAGGACTTGCCAGCTATTACCGACACGTTTCATTCCCAATTTTGCCAAAATTTCAAAACCACTAACAAGACTCCTACAAAAGAACGTTCCATTTAACTTTGACTCAGAATGCTCTTCTTCCTTCGACGACCTCAGAAAGTCACTTATTTCTGACCCCATTTTAATTTATCCAAATTTCGAAGAAACCTTTGTCTTAACGACCGATTCTAGCGCATTTGCTATTGGAGCTGTTTTATCCCAGGACCCCATAGGAAAAGATCTTACCATCGCTTACGCCTCTAGGACTCTCTGCAATGCCGAAACAAAATATTCAACCATAGAAAGAGCACTATTAGCAATAGTTTGGCCTGTGAAACACTTCCGCCCATATCTCTATGGTCGAAAATTTGTTCTAAACACTGACCATCGCCCTTTAACATGGCTTTTTCAATCAAGGATCCTGCTAGTCGATTGGCCCGTTGGCGACTAAAAGTCTAAGAATACGACTACAAAAGCGAATACAAACCCGGAAAAATGAATAAAAACGCAAATGCCCTTTCGAGAGTTAAAGTCAACTACATCAAAGAATGAGCAAATCTTCAATCGAAAATTTCTATCCTTGCATCCAATAATGACGAAATCTATAATAGACCTTCAACTAGCAAAGAAAGACCCCCTTCTGATGAAACTCAAAATGAAATAATTATTAGAGAATTCAATACTTTTGTCGATTTATACATAACTCAATCAATTATTGATTATTCTAAATTTGAAACTTCTCATTCACAACTTTTAGACAAATCTCGTAAGAACAATAACTTTCTTCTCGCAAACAAAAATAGAAGATCTTGATTTTGATTTTCAACCCAACACAATCAACATTCTCTCAAGTAAAAGCACAAGAGGACGGAAATACTTCATGATTCCTTTACCATACGATAAGGATACAATTGTCCAACAACTCTTTTTCACTCTGTTTACTTCTCTAGATAAATTCGAGCCTCTTAAAACATACTGTGTTGAAAATAACTTACAGTTACCCATCCTTGAGATCTTATCTTTCATTGTCGCTGTCAAAGAGATTAAACTAAAAATCTGTCAGAATATTGTTAAAACGCCGGATAAAGACCAAATCCCTATTATACTCGATCAGTATCACACAGGAAAAACCAACCAACCAAGCGAATAAGAGAAAAATATAACTGGCCAGGACTAACTAATCTCATGAAAAGTTGTGAAACTTGCCAAAAAGGCAGGTTATCACAGAAACCCCGAAAACACCCTTTGAACGCTTTAATATCGATTTCTTCGAATTTCCTACACAAAATTACGCTTTAACTATCAGGGATGAACAAGGTCGGCGCAACCATTAGGCATACTAGGCGGTCGCCTAGGGCGGCAAACTTAAGGGGGCGGCAAAAACGCAACAAAAAAAAAATCTTTTGAACTTTGCTTTTCTTCATGATATTCAGGATTCCATTTCTCTTGCAAACCCAAACTCAAACTTTGCCCTCTTCTTATGAGCACATACTGCTACACCTGTTTCTGCTAGTAGCTATAGGGGTCGTGCGATCGGGTGACGGGCAGCCAAAAACTAGGTACTTATTTTATATTATGAATATTTTTGACACAAAATTAACGTTTTGGGCGTGGCACCAGAACAGGGTTTTTTCCCCTCCGCCGGCGCCTGCGGCGGCCATTTGTATATATATTTTTTTATGTTGATATTCTATGATCTATATTCTGTAAGTCAGGTATATCTATATTACGTACAATCATTAATAAAACTATAGAACATGTTCTTAAAAATAGCCATGCATATTTGTATGTTTACTTGATAGGGGCGTCAGACAGTACATTTGCCTAGGGCGCCAAAGTCGCTTACGCCGACCCTGGGGATGAACTTACCAGATTCACCCAAGCGAGCGCCATATCAAATAAAAAAGCACTTCCGTCGTCAACACATTCCTATTGTTTTTCCAACACTATGGCACTCCTCTCTGAGAATACATTGTGACCACGGTAAAGAATTTGATAACGTCTTTTTCAAAGATCTTTGCAAACTTTACGACATCAAATTGACCTTTTCATGTGTCAGTCAGTCACCCACAAACAAATGGATCTTTGGAAAGATTCCATGCGACCCTAAAAGAAATGATTCGAGTCCATAATATGGAAAACCCTGACGAACACCATTTTACCCTATGCTCTAGTTTGCTAAAATACCTACAACCAAAAACAAGACTCACGGCTTTACGCCATACTAACCCCCAGAGACCTTGTACAACCAACAAGAACTTATCTCAAAATACATTAGATTTTGAATTAAACGCATGGAGCATTACTACAAAGTGGCACGTTCCAAAACAAACGCCCAAAAAGAAACAGCAAAAATCCGTTTTGACGAAGCTATGAAACGAAAAACCCCTGAAAATGAAGTAGGCGATAAAGTTTACGTCAAGGAATCTCAAATCAAAACAAAAGCCCCAAACCAATTTAATGGCCCATTTCTTATCACCGAAATATTTGGAACTTCGGCTAAAATTAAAAACTTTACTACTAATCAGAGTTCAAAAATAAATGACGATAGATTAGAACCTTACTACGACTAGTCTTATTCTCTTTCAGATTTCTCGTGCTGATCCCAGCGGCCATAGCACAATTCCATCTAACACCAGTCAATAACACTATAGGAATATTTTACTAAGAAGAAAGAACGATTAGATTGATTAGAATATCCAACGATAGATGGGCTCTACTCGTCTCTAAAGAACTAGATCCTTTGAAACAAACCATTAGAAATAACGGAAAACTGCTTTCAGCCCTCTTTGATCTAACTGTAAAATCAGCCCCAAGGATGACTGCTTTCAAAACCAGTGTACCAACCCATTTCAATCTCTTATCCCGTATTGCGGAATCCGTAAACGTAAAATTCCTAGAAATCACTTCCGAAACAAAAAACTGCGTACATAGAAATAAACGTCGTTACCTTAACCTACGTTTTTACATTGGATATGGGGCGGAGGCGCAAATTATTAACCTGCCACAGGCGCAAACAGGTCTAGTTACGGCTCTGATCAAAAGTTTTAACTCTACCCTCAAAAAACTACAAATTGACGAAATAACATTCAATAAAGACATCGGAGAAATAAGAAAATCCATTATGGACATTTCAGACTTCATGATATTTTACGGAGGACTAATAAGAACCATAAACCTTTGCGAATCCCCTATGAAAAGTTACGTTTTCATAGAAAAAACTCTTAATGACCTCCTGAATGCTATTACATTCGTTTGAAAATTCTATACAGCTCGATTATCACTCCGAGAGATTTAGTCTCCTCGCTTCAGGAAATATCAAGATCGCTTTCGAAAAATAATCTTCCATTCCCAACTTATTACACCTCAAATGTTGCTAAGTATCTTGATATCATAGAGCTAGAAGCTTATCAGTCAGATAGCAAAATTGTTTTCGTTTTGAAAATCCCGTTCCTTGAACCCGAAACTTATACACTATACCGAATTTTCCCAATTTTAGATAATCGAATAGGTCTCTTTCACACTATAACAGCAACTCATAAGTCATTGCGCGAGATGACGATTCTTTGCTGTATATATTTCCTCAAGACCTAAAAAGCTGCAAATTCAATTAAATCTCCACATTTGTACCGATCTGCTTCAGTATCCTATTGACAGCGATGGAATATGTGAGGCCCAGTTGCGAAACATCCATTCTGATAGCCTCAGACTACCATGTTCAAGAACTAGAACAAAATTACTGGCTTGTTACCATTCCAGACCCGCTTCCAGTAATAGTCAAATGTGGAAAAAGAGAAACTACAACGAACATTGTTCGAACTAATTCACTTCACCTACAAAAGTCATCCTGTTATAATTTCGTATGACAGTTGTTAACACATTCCAGAACAAGTACATCTTCCAGAACTCAAACCTTTAAAAATGAGCAACATCGACACAGAAGACCTAATGCTGCCCTACACAGACTCAACCAATACTCTGAAAAACTAGAGAAACTGATCCATGAACACTTTATATCAAGGCATATCAACTGGTTCACTATCTTCTCCATAGTTCTGATCATTACCCTAACCATCACTTACATTTACTGCAAATGCCGACATAGAAAAACTACAAGACTGATGATTTTCCACCACGACCAAAGCCCGGAAAACGACGAGAAATAAATTATTTGAGAAAACTGATCCCAAAAAGAAGGACCAGCATTCACCCTGAAGACCCCATGGAAGGAGATAGCCTAATACTCTGGCTGCCACTTTTCTAAAAGCTGCTGCATTAGCACCAACTTTTTCTTAAAAAGGGGAGCTGTTATATTCTTGTATTCTGACCATTGGCCTCTTTACCGTGCAATGACCCGTACATCCTATTGATCTAGGAAACCGCAAAGTCAGCAAGTTCAACAACAGTGTAAACTCAAGTAAATGAACTCAATCCTGCGACCTCAGCAATAATTAATTATAAATACTTCAGGAACATTATATTTTCTTTTAATCAATATGTAGTTGCACCTGAGAAGTTCGTTGGAGCAAGGAATTTTTTGGACGATTTAAAACACCCTGTAGGTATATACTGAGAGAGTAGTTTAAGCCCTATTTCTGACTCTTACCTCGTCTGAAGAATCAGCTCTAATGCGACAAGGTCCATCTCCAGGTCCGTCTTCATCAGAAGAAGTTTCCGAGTCGGATTGTTCAGATTCGGAGTAGTCTCCAGATCCACAACCTGGACGATCCATTTTACGCTCAGCATTCTGAAAATAAAATATTTTTTTTTTGTAGCATGCCACTGCTGGCAAATGAAGCTCGATTAAGTCATAGTTTGTGAGCAGAATATAGACTTTCATAAGTAATTATTTTCTGTACACTTGTACCAAAATCTGATTAGATTTTTACCTCCATCGGGTTAACAGTAATAGTCAATGCCGAATCATCCCAAGTCATTTCGCCGTCTTGCGCTTCTTCGCTGGACGATTTCTGATGGGCAGCCCGAATCCTGATCACTCCCAAAACGATCATGAACAGCAAAAATCCAACGCAAACCACCACTATAATGGTGACGGCGTGAGAGCCACCGCTAGCCATCACGTTCAAATGACTGGCTTGTACGTAATCGTGAGAAATCACAGAAGCAGGTCTGACTTCGACGTTGTGTTTGTTCACTTTGGCGTGGGCTACGATGGATTCTTTGGGTTGAGGATGGATGACAGTGAGCTGGAAAATTATTTGTGAAAATCTGACGGTGAAGATTTCTTCCGACTCTTACCGTTTGGACATATTCATTACTGGTAAATCTTCCGTTTAATTCAGAGCAGGTCAATTTGAAGACTCTGTTTAGATAATAGGCTGGCTTCCTGTTAGTATATACAAGCTGTCTCAAAACCTGAAAAACAAGACACAGTTAAATATGAAACAGTAGTTCAAATGAATATATTTTAAATATAGTTTAAAATTGCAATAGTAAAATACCTGTTGGTAGTTGAAAACCATATCAGACCCACTTATGGTGACTCCATCTTTAGAAACACGTGCGGCCATTCCAAAGTGTTTCAACATTTCTTCGGGTACAGCCAAGTTTTCATGGTCAGGATTAAGATTGGGATAAATTGTAAGTTGGCATTTGTCCAGTTTTTGTTCACCTAAAATGTTAGAAAGCATAAGAGATTGATGGAATTGGGAAATTGCAGAAAAATTACCAGTAATATGAATATCGGCCAATACTCTTACGCCCATTCTAAAATCTTCATACTTCCTTGCCATGTTGACAGTGCCATTCAAGTTTATGCTGGGGGTTTGGGGTCTTAAGACCATTACATAAGTTGATGCATCAGGAACCTGGGAATTACAATGAAATTTTCTAGTTTAACAGAGAACTTAAAAATAGGCCAGCTTAAGTCATGATTCCTGATAGAATTAGTGAATAGTTAAGTAACAATTTTTCTTACTTTGATTGGTTTTCCATTATCACAGGTTACAGTGGTGGAAAGTTTCAAATTTCTCCTGCCAGGAGTGGGGAATTCTCTGGTGTTGGCATAGCCAATTTTGCGCACTAAAATTTCCAAGTTGGTACGATTGTCGCCTTCTACAGTGACTTCGGTTAAATCAGAGTTGGTCAGCAGTTCCATGCCAGGTTGGAGAAGTTCCATGCTTGGTACCTGTGAAAAAGAGAGACGGATTAGGCTTGATTTTAATGTGAATAAGCCTAATGAAAAAAAAAAAGAACATATCAAATTAAAGGTACAGATAATTTTGATTCAGACTCTAATAATATTGAATACTATTGCAGTTTGTTAAATAATAACAAATCTTAGGCATATCGAAACAAAACTTTGGTATTAAAAATGTTTTCATAGATCTTAAAATTGATACAGGGGCGAATCTAAATGTAATACCTGGAAGTTTTTTAGAATAAAAACAATAAGTTGATAATGTAATTTATTGCAAAGATGATAAGTGGGCTCTAAGATCGGCCTTGATTAAAGATAAATTTGATAGAATTGAACGTAGGATTCACATTGGTATCGTACAATACTGGTAAACTAATTTATCTGTAAATAATCCTAGGTACGCCCAAGAATGAGAATTGTACAAATATACCAGTTGGGAATATTTTAAACCTAATACAAGAACAAAAGGAAAATTTAACGGAATTGCAATCATCTGTTAAGTTTCATAGAACACGATCTGGTAGAGTTTCAAAACATCCAAATTGAGAAATTTAAATTTCAAAGAGGAAGATGAATATGACAATTAGTAAAACGTCAGTTTTTAAGATATTTGATAAAAGTTCTTGTCGTCCAAATTAGGGTGGGTATTATAAAACTGCTTTGACAGTTAACTTGAAGTTAACTTTTTGAATCACATGTAGTTCCAGAAGTTAACTTTAAGTTAACTCTCAAAGTAGTTTTATAATACACGCCCTTAGGGGTGTACCTAACTATGTAATTTTATGTATTTTTAAATTCATCATGACAAACACATTCCAAAAACCTTCACATCTTAAGAAACGACTTTCAAAAAAGCAATCAGCCCAATAACTACTCCTAAACATTGAAACAAATTCTGCGATATTTGTAACTTGAGATGTGTGTATGTGCAACTAGCCCCACTGATTTGTAATGTCATATCAAAAAAAAAATCGTCCCAAGTACAGTTGTGAAACAGTTCAAACACAACTGCGGCGTCCAGAAATGAATACAAGAGCAACTTCTACAATATGTCAGACAATAGCCTCTAATGGCTTTAATATATTGAATAAAACTGTGCCTACCAGAATCACTGATCACTCAGCAACTTGTATTGATTACATCCTGACAAATGAACTAAATTAAAATGCAAACTTGTACATAGTGAATGAGGGTTTAGGAGATCATCAAATGCAGTTGTTAAAATTGGAATATCCCTCGTGCAAGTCTAATGACAAATATTATACTGCGACAACTTTAAATAGAACACAATTTAAAAATCAAGTGGGATTTTTGCAGAGTTAAGACTGGATTAATCCTAATTCTTAGTGTGATGAGATTTTGGGGATATACCTGAACAATCTAAGTACAAAAACTGTAAAAAATCGTTTTAGACAAAATAGTGCGCCCTGGTTTAATATCACATAGCACACCCTTGTTTTAAGACGAGATTATCACTATAAACAGCATAAGACTATTTCTCAGGTAAAATGTTAGAAGCACAGGGTAACAGCAAAAAAATATGGTCAACGCTAAACCACCTTATCCATAATACATATACAGAATTTAAAAAAATCAGGGAAAGATATTTTTTTCAAATTCATAGGTATGTGAAGATTGTTGCAATTTGGTGCTCACCTCGTATAGATGCATGTTTTCAGAATACATTAGTTCCAAAATGAAAATCCCAGTAAGTTGAATTAGACGAGAATACAGAATACAGTTCATGAGCTTCAATATCAAAATACATTGTACAATAAAACTGTTGATATATCTAATCAGTTAAACCAGTACTTTTCTTAAGTAGGAAAAAATACATATTTGAATGGCAACAGGTCTCAGAAGAAAACGTTAAAGATATCATTCATTGATAAATTAAAGAAAGGAAAAGCTTCAGGCAGTGATGGCTTCAGCATTGACGTTATTGAAGAATTAAAAGTGGAGTTAATACCTATTATAACTAAGTTAGTTAACCTATCTCTCATTACTGGATCAATCACAAACTTGATAAAAATGGCAAAAGTTGTACCACTGTATAAAGGAGGTGACTCAAAGCAACCTGGAAGCTATCGACCAATATCTCTCTCAGCAGCCATGTCAAAAATTTTGGAAGCCTGTATCAATAACCAAATTGTACAATTCTTTGATTTATCAGATTCCTGGTCTAACAGACAATATGGTTTTAGATCTAACTCAAGCACAGTATCAGCTACTACCGACATGATTACATATATATTTATAGCAAAATGGACAAAGGGCTAAGCTGTATACTTGTATCCGAGCTTGTATCACTGGACTTGCAGAAAGCCTTTGATACAATTGACCATGACATACTTATAACAGTGTTAGAACAAAATGGAATAACTGGAATGGTCTCAGTATGGTTGAAAGACTATCTGAGTAGATGAACTCAAAAAGTACTATGTAACAATGTGCTTAGTACTACAACAAGATATAACATGTTGAGTTCGCCAAGGGTCTATATTGGGACCCAAATTATTGTTTCTTGTACATATGAACTCCATTTCCAGATTACCTTTAAGATCGACACTATACCAGTCGAGATGACACAGAAATGCTGTATGAAGGAAAATATCCCAAAACACTACAACACATTATAGAAAATGATTTGAACGAGATAGACGAATGGCTTAGACATCATAAACTTTCCCTGAACATGAATAAGTGCAGTTACATGATAATTTCAAATATAGATGTTAAACAGAGAGCAGCAATTGAACTTTGGGAAATTCAAATTTAGCAAACAAAATCTTATTTAGTATCTTGGATTGTACATAGATATTCGTCTTACATGGGAACAACATACAGTGAGGACATAAAGTCCGTCGCCCCCCCTCTAACTTTTGAACCGCTCGGTATATTGCAACGAAATTTTGAATGATGATATGTGACTAGATTCTCCATGTTTTGAAAATCAAATGACAGCTTCAGCTGTCAAAATGACAGCTAGGTGCAGTTTTGGAACGTTTTTTTAAATAGAAGGCGGTGTGGAATGATATATCGTTTTAAAGGTTTCTTTATTCTTAATTTAATCCCTGATTCTGAAAACATTTGGTTTAGCGGTTTTCAAATGATGACGAAAAAACAAAGGCTTGTTTTGCTCATAAACACTCATGAAAAAAAAATTTAAAAATTTTTTATCGCTTTTTTATTCATTATTGTCTTTTTTTCAGAAATAATAATGACGTCATGACATTGGTAACTTAAATAATGAATAAAAAACCGATAAATTTTTTTTTTTTTCTACAAACGTCACTAAAAGTGTCATTTTTAACGGATGCTGTCAGTGTCTAAAATGCCATTTTATGACACTGGTGTTAAAAGTGATTACTTTTAGCACTAGTGCTAAAAGTAATCACTTTTAGTGCGTTTGTGGAAAAAATAGTGTATGACATTCGTGCTAAAAGTGATTTTATTTTGTTCAAAGGGATGGAACACTCCGCCTTCGGCGTCGTGTCCCAAACTTCCCTTTTAACAAAATAAAATGTCACTTTTAGCACTTATATCATAAATAACTATTTTTTTTTTTTTATGAGTGTTTATGAGCAAAACAAGCTTTGGTTTTTTCGTCATAGTTTGAAAACCGCTAAACCAAATGTTTTCAGAATCAGGGATTAAATTTAGAATGAAGAGACCTTCAAAACGATATATCATTCGACACCGCCTTCTATTTAAGAAAACGTATCAAAACTGCGCCTAGCTGTCATTTTGACAGCTGAAGCTGTCATTTGTTTTCCAAAAAATGGAGAATCTATTCACATATCATCATTCCAAATTTCGTTGCAATATACCGAGCGGTTCAAAAGTTAGAGGGGGGGCGACGGACTTTATGTCCTTACTGTATATTAACTACATGTCACAAAATTGCTCCAGCTATGGGCATACTTGGAAGAATTGCTATAAATATATACTACTCCCTGATAAACTCATATCTGATGTGCTTAATCTCATAAACTCATATCTGATATACTTAACCATTATTTGGGACAACACAAATCAAAAGCACCACCATCCTCTTATGGTGTTACAGAATACAGCTGTTAAATATGTGTAGGTACCAGTTGCCACGAGCAATACTTAACATTACCTAAGTATTTTATAAATTCACAAATATGAGCTCAAACACATACAAATATTACTCTACTCGGACGGAAGATGTTCATGATTACCATACCAGACAGAGATTATTTTCCGTACAGAATAAATGCGAACTACAGGTGCATAAAGAAGCATTTATTCAGAAGAACTGATTTTGTATAACAAACAACCTAGAAGCATGAAAGACTGCCATCCAAAAAAATTTAAAATTGAAATAAAGAAACTACTTTTGGTAAATTACTTTGATGACTGAGATTTCCATTTCCATTTTCAGCCCAGTGTTCCCAACCTCTCAGATTAATAATTCCCTTGATGGATCCCAAAAATTCCCTATTTTATATATTTTAGAGTTAAAATTCCCTGCTTTCAATGTTGCCAATAGGCCTTTTCGGAAACACTGATCCGATTAACCGGATCACCAGCTGATGTACTTTGTCTTTTTTCAATCGTGTTCATTAAAGAAAGATAAAAAACAAACAGTTGGTGATCAGGTTAGTCGGATCAGTGTTTCCGAAAAAGCCTTACGAGTACATCTAAATAAATGCCAAATGACTTTACCTATATCAAAACCAAAAATATCTTCTTTCTATTGTGTATGTAATAAAACAAAAAATTGAGTCCTTTGGATGATTAAACGGATTACAAACAAATTACAAAAATTAAACATGAGCATTAAAATAAATACAACCGGGAACCCCCGAAACCGAACCTTGCTGCGTTCGGCTATGTCACTCCGCGTAACTCCGTACCCACTCCAGGCGTTCGAGTATTGCTTTTCGGCGTAGGTAGAGTGACATCGCTTACTCCACTCCAAATCCGCGCTGAACACAATTTCTATCTTCATCGATGCCAAACTATTTCTCAAAAATTCCCTCATTTCGACGATTTTATAAAAAAAAAATCCCTTTTCCCTTTTGGGTGCCAAAATTCCCTAAAAAGGGAAAATTCCCTGCAGTTGGGAACACTGTTTCAGCCGTTTTCTATCCTTAAGCCTAGTACTCATAACTGCGAAATTCGCATTTTTTTGACATTGCGTTGACAATTTGACGTTTTATGTGTGTATCAAACGTCAAATTGTCAACGCAATGTCAAAAAAATGCGAATTTCGCAGTTATGATTACTTTGCTTTAGGATATAGGCCTCTTTCAAATTTGACCATTGTCTTCGGTTTTGCGCAACTCGGTACCAATTCAAGCCTGCAACCCTCTTTATATCGTCGTACCATCTTTGTTGGGGTCTTCCAACACTTCTCCTCTCTTCCCAAGGTCTCCATCTAGTGATATACCCGCTCCAGTTTTCTGTATGTCTGGCCACGTGTCCTGCCCATTGCCATTTTAGGGAACCAATTCTTTTTATTATGTCGGAGACTTTGGTTCTTTCCCTTATCCATGTATTTGTTTTGTGGTCTCTCAGGGAAATTCCTAAAATTCGTCTTTCAATGGCTCTCTGATGTACTTCCAATTTGTGTTTAATTCTTCTGGTTATCACCCAGGTCTCGCAGTCATACGTGACAACAGGCAGTATACACTTGTTATAGACTTTTGATTTTAAAGTCATTGGAATATTCATGCTGAAGATGTACTTTAACTTGCCGTAAGCCGCCCATCCCAGTCTAATTCTCCTATCAATTTCCATTTCTTGATTTTGTTTGCCCGGTGTTATAGCTTGGCCAAGGTATATGTATTTTTGTGTCTTTTTTATTGTGCTGTCATGGATCGGTATTGTTTCGTCTGCATCTGGTGTATTTGTAATAAACTGGGTCTTTGTGTAGTTCATGTGTAATCCTACTTTTGCCGCCTCATCTTGTAGTTCTTCCAACATATGTGTCAATTCCTGTTTGTCTTTCGCGAACAGTACAATATCGTCGGCAAATCTTAGATTGTGCAGGCGTTCACCATGTATGTTCAATCCTTTGTTTTCCCATTGTAGTTTTTTAAAAATATCCTCGAGCACTAAAGTGAATAGTTTTGGAGATATTACGTCCCCTTGCCGAACTCCTCTTTTGGCGTTTATTCTGTCAGATGATTCATGAAGTCTTATCGACATTGTCGAAGTCTTATGGATGTTTTCAATGAGGTTTATATAACGTTGGTCGTTGATCCACTCTGACATTTCTCAAGGATTTTATTATTGCCCAGATTTCCACTGTCTCGAAGGCTTTCCGGAAATCGACAAAAGCCATCCATAGGTTTATATTATATTCTGTAGCTTTCTCGATCATCTGCCTTACTGTGTGTAGATGTTCTGTCGTGCTATAATGGCTTCGGAATCCAGCCTATTTTTTTGGTTGGTAAACTTCGAGTTTTCGCTCTAATCTGTTGGTGATTATTCTGGTGAATAATTTATATATTTGTGATAGTAAGCTTATCGACCAGTAATTTTCGAGATCAGTCGGGTCACCTTTCTTGTAGATCAGAACAACTACAGCATTCTCCCAATCTTTGGGTATATGTTCTTCTGTTAGGCACTTATTGAATAGTTTCACTAGTTTTTGTCTCGTCTTAGTATCGCTTTCCTTGAGCATTTCAGGCAGAATGTTGTCTTCTACTGCCGCTTTACCATTTTTCATCTGGGATAACCCTTTCTCCAGTTCTTCCATATTTATTCGGGCATTTCTTCTGAGTTTGCATTTAATATTCGTATTTTGTCTTCCCTTGTCCTTGTGTTTGCTATTTTAGATTCGTACAGATCTCTATACTTAGAAAGATTCCACAACTTTTAGTATCTGTTGTCTGTCTTCTACTATGTTGTTTTTCGCATCTTTTATTTTGGTTATCGCTTTCTTAGGTGTGCTATGTCTTTTAAATATATTTAGTCCTTTGTTCTGTTCTAATAGGGATTGCACTTGTTTCGTTTGATGACTGAGATATAAAATATATACTCCAATATAATTCCTTTGAACCTTTATTTAAAACATATTCAGTAATACAAGGCTACATTACCTCACTTTTGTAAGAATAATATCAAATTTTGTAATTGTAAAACCAACATAGCTACGGCTCTTGGTTTATGAATGTATATAGTTAATATTCTATTGTTTAATTTTCTGTATCTGATTATTGGAAATTAAAAAAAAAAACCCTCTAGTAAAATTTTTATTCAGTTATAAAGTGAAGAGGTTTGTCATGATGAAATTAAATTTTCCGCCTCACTACCGAAGCCCAACCTTACCATATCCCCTAACAAGTAAACAATTATTAGCATAGCATTCACAAGAAGCCTAATTTGTATACACACCTGCAAACTCTCCTTGCACTGATGCAAACAGCTAAGAACTTCAGGTTTTTCATTTTCGCCGACGAGCACGCTCAATCCGGCCAAGTACCCTTTCAAGTGGTGCTTCATCTTGTTATCGGAGCCCTATGGAGAAAAATCAAAGGGGGATTTAATAACTCGATTAAAATTTAAAAGGAAATGCATTATTACCTGCCAGCAGGCGCCAACAGTCAAAGTGGTGTTGATGCCTTTGGTGGGATGCAGAGGCCAATCATCGATGACTTCTGGATTTTTCTTTTCACTGCGGAAAAGTTGTCCATCTACGTAGAGTTCTACGTCGGGGAAACGGACGTTGATGGCGTAGTGATGCCATTGGTCGTCACAAACCTAGAAAAAAACACAATACATCACAAATTCCTTAAAATAGAGTAAGTAGAACATTTATGTTAAAAATTTAATATAATCATTGAGTCGAGAATTTTGGCTAATCAGTCTGATCAGAATTTAAGCCGACAAGTTACCCTGATGTTTATCAGTGCCCACAGGTCACCACAATCCACACACAATGTTAATCAGAAGCTTTTGCCCGAACAAAGTTGGGGGAGATTATACCAACTAATTAGGCGGAATGTGTTCAAATTGATTCAATTTGGATTGATTTTGAGGGTTCAATGATTAAGAGAAATATCTAGTGCAATCAAAAAACTATTTTAAGTACATTTATAAGGATGCAGATTTTGAGCAGTTGATGCCAGTTGGAAATATCTTTGATTCAGATTAAATGTAAAACCTTCTTTATAAACCGACTGCTTTTCATTTGAAACAGAAAAAAAATGCTAGTTAATATCATGGTTGAAACCGAAACCACTTTTTTTTAAAAAAATGTTCAGCTTCCCTCGAAATAATTTACTTAATGGCCTAGTCCTTTAACATACGGTAATTAATTCCGGAAAAGCCCCTCGACTCGTTCAAACTAAAGTCCCATCGAACTTTTTTTTTTAAAACACGGGATTACAAGATTAAACAGTAATCCGTCCCAAGCTTTAAACTAGTCAATTTTTCAACGTAAATTGAGTAAGTTCGAAAGTTTTCAACTTCGCTTTGCATTTTTAATACCGTTTCTCGCTTTGCCAGCAAATAGCATTCCTAGTTTATCACAAAATAGAATTTTTGAAACTAAAAACTTCTCAGTGTATTAAAAAAAAACACTATAATTTCAAGCTCATTACTCCTCTCTCAAGCATTTTCATCTAATAAAATTCCAAGAAACATTTCAGGCATGAAGAGAAAGCCAGCTGAAGGTAAAAGAAAACTTTTGGCGATGGCGCAATAAAAAAGTTAAAAACACCACTCCCCATTTTGAAAGAGGCCATTTTTGAAGTCTGAATAAAAACAAGATTGATAGTCTTGGCTTGGACTTAAATGCTGTTTCCAACTAGAAAGCAAATAAATATAACTCCGAGTAAGAAAGGAGAGAAAATATTCTTTAGCAAGAAACAGTTGTGTTTTGGAGATGGCACGCTGTCGTAATTTTGTTAGGAAGTTATTTAAATAAATGCCAAACTTGTTCTAGAATTTGATAAATTGAAGAGTTTTAAAACTTCTAACAGCTTTCGCCTACTAGTGTTAGGCAAATAAGACAAAAAAATTTGCCAAACCCGGACATTTGAAGTAACAAGCTGAAAATTGGTAAAAATGTTACTGATAATGTCTTTATTGAAATCCCAAAATTCCCAAAAAATCTATCTTGTAGAATTCGAATTTTAAGCATGGCGAGTCAACCGAGCATCCGATTTCATTTATTTTGGTCAAATTTATGGGAAAATGTATGATCTCCTTTTTTTTGTCTATTTCTGTCTGCTTTCTTTTTGTCTTTTGTTTTTGATCTTTGCTTGCTCATGTGTCTCTTTATCTATTCACTATTGTATGTGTTTTGTCTTCTCTAGCACTTTGTGTGTGTTTGCTAATCGCCTGTAGTTGTGTCTGTGACTGCTATATTAGCCCATTTGTTTATTTTTGTCACTTGTTTGTCGTATGTTGCTGTATCAAATAAATCCTTACGTCGCCATACTCTAATATTATTTAACCTCGGATTTGCCTTGGATGCTGCAGGATGCATACTTTCTTGACGTGATGCGCGTCTTCTTTCGCATTCTGATTGCACGTGCATTGCCCGTCGGATTCTTTCAGGTTGAAACTCAGGATGTACTGTTCGAAGTTTCCGTGGCCTGTCACCAGTTGTGTAGCTTTGAAACTAAGCTGCAGCATATGTCAGTCCATCCCTACTTCTTGGCAATGTTTGTAAAACTCTTTGCCCTTATCTTTTTCAGTCTTTTGCCATGGTGTTGTAGTTTTGTGCTCTCGTTCCTTCTTCATTGTGTCTCTGTCCATGTGTCTGCAGGTTCCTGTCTGACTTTATAGGATAATCTTGGCCATCATGTCTGCAGCTTTGTTCCCCGATATATTTTCATTGAGGCCCTTCTTCCATATAATTCCAACCCCTTTGTCTTGTTCTAGGGTCTCTTCCGCTAGCATCAAGACATGCGCCGTCAGCTTGTCTTTTATTTTATGTTTCATAATTTGCTCCATCGTTTACTATGTCCGTTAACACTGTCATCTGATCAATCCTTCAAAGTTTGCCATCATTTTTGCTCTGTCTATATTTGTGTTGTCTGGTGCTCTCTTTGTGCGCTGTTCTATTCTGTCCGCAATTGCAATATGTACGCCAATGCCCTTTCTTCCTTCTTGATTTGTACTGGCGTCTACGTGCCAGTTCTCCGCCACTTGGTTTTAGAGCCTGCCCCTTGTCGTAAGGTTTGGTTTGTCTGTTCGTTTTAGCCATTCCAGTCTCGCTTTCCGTCTTTTGCCTAGAGCCAGAACGGTGGGATGCCCGCCATGACTCGTAGCGCCTAGTTTGCAGTCGTAGAGTATGCGCTTTTCGTCATTGAAAGCAAAGGTCTAAAGGCCGTAACCCACTAGCAACACGCCACGCCATACGACGCCATGTGACACAGGTTCACGTGGGACAGTTTGTGTGTAAATGGACGGATGGCGTGGCGTGCCATGACGTGGTATCGCGTGTGGCAAGTGTGTACGTGGCACTTATTAATAAATGAAAGAATATACGCATACATTTTCGTCACATGGCGTGGCGTGGCGAAGTATGACGTGGCGTGTTGCTAGTGAGTTTCGGCCTTAATTCTAGCCGCTGCTTCCACATGTCTTTATCGTCATTGTCAACTTTGCCATTTTGATTGTAGCGACACGTGACACGCAAGTTTTCTAATGTAGCTCCTCTGATATTCTTTTGTCCTCGATCTTTATCCTGGGTTCACTTGTCTCTTTGTGTCTGGGTATGAATAATGTCTCTGTTCTATCTTGATATTGCTAGCTTGACATTGCTAGCCTTCTCCCATGCCTTGCACGCTTTACAGACGGTTTTCCACTTGTGTTGAATATCGCTAAAGGAGCCTGCTATGACTAGCAATTGGTCGCCTGCGTTTATGCTTGTGTATCAACTAGTCTTTCGTTGTTGGTTCTTTGCCACTTCACGTGTGTTTTACTTAATCGTTCAAGTGCAGCAGCGGAATATATCTGCACCTCCGGAGTTGTGTTTTGTAACTTTTTGAAGTTGTGGTTTAGTGTTTATTTGTGCCAGCTTGTTAGAGTTTGAGTGCGTCATACTTTGGAAAATGGGGAAGAATAGAAGGCGTAGAAGCAGTTCAAGCGATTCAGCCAGCTCGTTCGTCAATAAGTAGTAACTGTGCTGAACGCTATAAAAGAACAACTAGACAGTTCAAGAAAACCGATAAAACTCGAGATAGTAGCTATTCGACCAAAAAGGACAAAAATAACGAAAGAAATGTTCAGGAAGGTCTTTCAGTAAATGCTCTTCAAGCACCTGGGTTGAGAAGTTTAACTCCTCCTTGTGTTGTTATGGAACGTCCCCAGTCTAAGCAAGCGCAAAAACAAGCAAGTTTAGAATAAATAATGGAACAGGCTACAGATGCAAACGTCACATTACCACGAAGTAGTAGTTCAATTACGACAATAACCATGCCTGAAAGTGATTCGCAGAGGCGAATTCGACAACTGGAAGATTTGGTCAACCATTTATTAGAAAGCGGCGGTAATTGCAGTCAAAATAAGGTCAATTCAAAATCTATACCCAGAATTCAATCCATGGGAAAATAAGTTGTAGCAAATGGTTACATAAGATAGACCAACTTGGGTAAATAAATAATTGGGATGAAAATTTAAAGATTTTTCATATGCAAACACGCCTACCAGGCTTAGCTAGAGATTGGTATGAAGGACTCGAAGCGCATGCTTATTTTAGCATTTCCTGCCAATCGAGACTTTCCTACTGCGCTGAAGAATATGATAGAGCATAAAAAAATGACCGAAGAATCGTGGACAGAATATCATTTTGGAAAAATGCAGCTCCTTCGCCAGTGCGAAATAAGTGAAAAAAAAAAAACAGTGTCGATGATTATAGATGGTATCCTTAATACTACAATACAATCTGGAGCAAAAATGGACAGGTATATTATACCAGAGGACCTATTTCGTGAGTACCTCTCTTCTTTATCTTCGGTGACAGTATCAGTCAAGAAACGAATAGAATTACCCGAAAAGCAAGAGAGCCGTTACGAACATACGCAGAATTCTGACGTAAATCAAAAACTCAAACATAAAAAGTGTTTCAATTGCAAAGACTATGGACATATGTTTAGGGACTGTCCCAAGCCTAAAAAGGAATGCTCAATTTGCAAACAGGTACCTAGGGCATTTATCCTCAAATTGTTACAAGAACAGGCCAAGTACCTACTTCACATAAAGCGCGAAACCAAACCTGATTCAAAGTCAGACGGTTATTATGTGACTTGTGAAGTAAACGGACATAGTTTGAATGGTTTTATTGATTCCGGATGCGAGGTCGTATTAATTTGTGAATCGGATGCAAAAACTGTTGGCCTTACTTGGTCCACTTGCAAATGTTACTCTAAATAGATATGAAGGGGCTATTACGAAGGTTTTGGGCAATGCCAAAACGAATCTAAGAGTAGATTTATTGGAAGTTGAAACTTCAGTCTTTATTGTGCCCAATCAATCGCAGAGTTTTAATTGGTAAGTCAGTAATAAATAAGAGTGATGCGATAACAGTACTTCGCAAAGGAACTGTTAGACTTCCCAGCAGTGGTTCAACTGACAAAAATTTCCACCTAAAAAGATAGTTTTGATGGCAACTGTTTCCACTAAAATTTCCTCAAACCACATAGGACTTGTTGTATGATGAAGAATGACTACCGGTGATATTTTTGTAGACCTAGGTCAACGTTTTGAACCAGGCAAAGAATATGTTTTGCCCAGATGTGTCATATCCTCAGGAGATTTGAAAATTTCCATTTTTAATGTTTCAAAAGATGTGATCTGTTTTGGACCCAATAGGGTAATTGCAAGAGGTGTTCCTTGCGTTCCTGATGACGAAAATGTGAGTACCTGTTTCGAAAGTAGATATTCGTAATTTGGAAAAATTTTCCTTAAATGATCCAACCACTTGTGTGCCAGAAAAGTTATCTACTTAGAACCGATTTAAATAATTTTCTATTATTGTTAAACAAGTATCGCGATTGTTTTGTGGAAAATTTGAAAGAACTAGGTCACATATGATCCGCGGAAATGAAAACTCGTATAAATTGTGAAAATCCTGTGACATATAGACCATATAGACTTTCTATGCATGAAAAGGAAAAGGTGCGCAAAATAGTTAATGAACTACTGTCAGCCAATAATATACAAGAGTCCAGATCATCTGATTCAAGTCCAATTGTATTGGTTAAGAAGAAAACTGGTGGAACACGCGTGTGCGTAGATTACCGCGCCGGTAACGCAAAAACAATGAAAGACTGTTATCCTTTACCAACAGTGGACGACCATTTAGAGATTTTGAAGGGATGCAAGTATTTTACGACCTTGGACATAGCGAGCGGTTACCACCAAACACCAATGGCGGAGAACTCCCAAGAAAAAATAGCATTCGTAACTCCTGATGGTCACTACGAATATTTAAGGATGCCGTTTGGATTTAGATAATAACTACTATCAATCCCTGCAAGGACTTTCTATAACTGTATTTTTAGGATTTTGTTTTTCATAGTAAATGCTCCAGCGGTGTTTTAACGGACGATTAACCAGATCCTAGGCTCCATGAGATCTTCTACTGCCTTAGCATACATGGATGACATCTTGGTTCCTTATCCTAGTGTTGCGTTTGGGTTGGTTGCTCTTGGGGATTTATTTGAAACCTTCCAAAATGCAGGTGTCACTTTGCGACTGTCAAAATGTAATTTCTTTAAAGAGCAAATTGATTATTTAGGACATGAGAATAGTGCTGCCGGTATCCGAACCGATACTTCGAAGATTTCTGCAGTAGAGAAATTTCCTGTTCCAAAAAATGTGCATTAGATTCGACAATTCATTTGTCTATGCAGCTATTTCAGGAAATATGTGACAGATTTTGCACAAATTGCCCGCCCTTTGATCTCCCTTACAAAAAGTATGTACAATTTGACTGGTGTATAGAGCACGATGGTGGTTTTGCAAAACTTAGAGGAGTTTTGATCAAGAGACCTTTACTTGTCCTGTACGACTCTGGGTTAGAAATAGAGGTCCACACCGATGCTTCGAAAATTGGGCTTGGTGCAATTTAATACAAAAACAGGAAGATGGCAACCTAAAGCCAGTATTTTTCTTCAGCAGACAGACTGCAAGGGAAGAAGAAAAGTATCACTATCACTCGTACGAACTCGAAACGTTACCAGAGGTTTGCTAGTTACAGAGGTTCCGAGTATACCTATTAGGGCTATCGTTCAAAGTAATAACTGACTGTAGTGCCTTGAGAATTGCAATGTCAAAGCGTGATTTGATTCCGCGCATTGCACGGTGGTGGCATTCCATCCATTATTCATATTTTTCAAGTAGATATCACACAAGATGATTTGGTGTTATCAGCGCAACTGAAAGATAGCACATGCAAGAAGTTGATGGAAATATTGTTGACGAAACCAGTAAACAGTGACGAAAAACAGGTTCACAAAGATTACTCGCTGAAAGACAATAAACTTTATCGGAAATTATCTACTGGTTTACGATGGTACGTTCCCAAAGCGGGCAGACGCGCAGTGACAATGTGCCATTATGACAACGTGGACCATTTTGCGACCGAAAAACTCTGAAAAACATGGGTAGTAAGTCTTGTCTACAATGTGCATACAACAAAGCACCTACAGGTAAAGAAGAGGGTTTTCTCCATAAAATAGAAAAGGTACCAATCCCAATGCATACTCTCCACATTGATCATGTTGGACCGTTTGTGAAGAGCACGAGAAAAAATGCATACTTGATAGTAGCAATAGCTGCTTTCACGAAGCGAAGTTTCTTCATGCCAACCCATCAGTTCCAAGTACCAAAACGAAACCAGTACCTACCTAATAAACTTTTTAGAGACAATTTTTCTGACTTTGGATACTCCTAGACGCATCATTAGTGACAGAGGATCTTGTTTTACGCCTAACTCCTTTATCAGTTTTAACAAGGAGCTAGGAATCAAACAGGTATTTAATGCAACAGTTACTCCACGTGCCAACGGGCAAGTGGAAAAATATAACAGCACTTTGTTGAAGGCCATTTCAACATCTTACGAAGATGAAAAAAAATGGGACGAGACAATTGAGTCTATTGTTTTCGGAATTATGCAGTAAACAGTTCCACTGGGAAGAGTCCCTGTGAACTGCTTTTTAGATACAGACCAAGAGCATTGGGTGATTCATTTCTGAGTACAGCTGTAACAGAGGACGCGGTTGAAAATGACATCAAACAATCTAGGCAGGAAGCTGCTTCAAAAATTCAAATTACTCAAGACAAGCAAAAAACCTGCTTTGATGCTAAAAGAAAGAAATGTCATAAGTATGGGGTAGGGGACCTGAAATGAGTGGTCCTTACCAAATGAAGAGGATCTAGATCATGATCGTTATATTGTAGAGGATCTGCCAGGGTCAAATCGTGAACGTAAGGGATATGAAGGTGTCAGTACTGTCAGTTCAGCTGACCGTATATGAAGCCGTTTCATGCCGCATTTCAGAGTAGTAGTAAGACGGATTCAGACTATAAAATCTCAGAGTAGAAATCGCTAGATGAGAAATTCGTAGAACAGAATGTCTCAGAGAAAGATTCTTTGACTACTTGAGGAAGTTTTTAGAGTAGATGTAACTAATTTGTCGGTTATGATTGGCGAGTGTTGTGGATTTTTGGCCAATCTTCGCATCGCTTCACAATCTCCAATATATACCTATATTTTATTTTGACACTAAATTACTGTTTTTTTTTTTTGTGTTTTAGAGATCTGCAGCTAGGGGATTTTTCCGGGACGGACAATGAAGTAGCATGGCCGATTGTAGAAGAACGTTTCTTTTCGAGTGTGTTCGTGAAGGATATTTTCTTTGTTAGCCTATAGAGGTAAAAAGTAAGTATGCTAATTATGACGGGGTGGTCTTGTTTATGTTTATACATATAAAGAGGGAGTGGTTTTTCTTATGAGTAAGAGGAGTCAGTCTTGCGTTAGCGTTCTAGACATTTGGTCGAATTTATATTCAAATATATCTTTGCTAATTATTGTTCTTGAGTGAATATATAATTTTTTTTTTTTACTCAATTATATACGTTGTGTTTTATTTAATCGTTACACAATATTAAGCTTGTCGTCGCTTCAAAAGTTCGGATTTAAAAATTCTCAGATTCTTACCTGTCCAATCTTCCACCTCCATTCGGCAGGTCTGAAAATGTTCAAATCTCCCTCGGAAAAGTCACGTCTCAACAGCAAAATCAAACGACAATTCCTGACGAATAGAGCATAGTGATGTCTGTTCATTTCTGAAATAAAATACATATTCATTAAGCATAATAAAAACAAAAAAAATAAAAATTTATTAGAGCGGAAAGCGGGCACACAAAAAAAATCTATTAGCAAAAATCCGGCAATAAAATATTTTCAGGGTTTCCTCCCAAACAAAACGATCCGATCGTTAGTAATGCATATTTCATTTGGCTCTCTGGCAGTATACAATTTTCATGCAGAACCGGGAGATGATTTACGGCATTGTGTGTGAATTTAAACGAAATCCCAACGTCAAAAACTTAAAATCCTTGTTGACGAAACTTGAGGCAAAACTAAACTCTGCCATGGTTTCGTCTAATACCATTATCATTTGTGTTCGCGACGAGATTATTTCCTTTTAAAGGCGGTAATTCGTTTTAATTAACGAAATTAATTTAGTTTGGCGTAACTCTATCTTAGTGTCGTGGCAGGGTGCTGTTGTAATGCTTAGATTAACTATTGCAACAGCGCAGAGGAATTTATATGAGTCTTCGGGAAACAACTAACTTTCCGTTGTTGATTGACGGATGGATGCAGATTTGTTTCGGAATATTCTGATCTTGTCATGAAGTGTATATTGCTTGTTTCTATATCAGAATGCGGACGTTCACTAATAACTTCATTATTGATGAGGCTTCCCTTTACAAAAATCCGAGGAAAACAAAAAAATATTGGCTATACTGGTTTAGTCCACGATTTTGTAGCCACCCTGATTTCACTTCCAGCATGGCACAAGTAGCAGTCGGAAATTTGAAAAATAGTGACTGTAAAGATATCTACCAATTTCAATCGCTATAAAAGCGAGTTCAGAAAGGCCAAAAGGAGCTCATGGCAGGAATTCTGTAAGTCCATTATGAACACTCATATATAAGTCAGCCAGAATTAGGAACAACGTGGACTAATGGAGACACACTTCCCAGGTTGTACAGAAACAGATACCAACAACTTTGAAGAGCAATTGGAATCAATTTCAAAAACCAACGCAGAATGGGCAGTAAAAACCTTCCACCCCTACAAGTCCGCAGGACCAGATGGGGTAACAAAAATTCCTGAAAAGGATCCTAGAACAAATGCTAGAAATATTTGTTGATTGCTTAACATTAGGGCATACACCAGCCAGATGAAGGGAAGTTAGGGTTGTCTTCGCGTCTTTATACCCAAAGCGGTTAAATCAGGCATCTCCAGCCCAAAAGACTGTAACTGCAAAAGAACGTGTTACCCAGATCCAAACAATAAATCAGAAATCCAGATAAAACACATTTCGATATAGCGAATTACATAGAAACAATTTATTACAGCGCAAAATGATAATGAAATAATCAACTCAAAATTATCCCAATCCCAATCATTTACACAAAATTTATTCGGCCGGCATGGACATGATGGGCGTGTTTTCTCTGGAAAATAATATATGCAAACTATTCTGTTCGTTTGCGTTTAATATTCACAGTAGCGCGTTTGTCACTCTCTGGGTCAGGCTCTGTTTGATAAGGACTGGTAAAAGCCTGCCTCTGGCAAATAATAGTCTAGTTGATTCCAGTTTTCACTGAGAAATTAAAGGATTTGAGGGTTCAGCCTATAATATTTATTGGAAAGCTTGAGCCATTTGGTTGTGATGGATCTTGGTTAATGTTACAATGACATCATATCGAAACTGCATTTCTAAATTTCAATTTACCAACGAGTTGCTGTTGCAAAAAAACGCCAGCTGTCCTCAGGATAAATATTTAATTAAGTAAAAACTAAAAACAAGTAAATTCGTTTGTGCACGGTTGCTGTGATATTTCGAACATAATTTTCAATAGGTATTCCAGGTTGTCGCCAATTATTGGATTTGAAAGTACATATCGAAATGTTCAAATGTAAAATTAAGGTTACTGTTTTTCTGAAGAGGTGTAAGTGTTCAGGAAAGATAGATGTGCTGCTGAATGGATCTCGATAATTGAGTTTTTGCCTGTGTTTTACGTACTTGGCATAAAAGTTCTGAATATATTAATAAAAAATTATGCTAGTTTTGAAGAAAAATGTAGAGAACAAAGAATAAACATTCCCGGCTCAGATTTTGTAGTAGGTAAGTTAGATAATTTAATGAAGAAGCTCCAGAAGGATGGATAATATTGTTTTTGAAGCATGGTCAAATAGAAATTTCATTGAAGAAGTTTTTGAGTCTGAAATCAATATTGAGAGCCCTATTATTATAATGTTAAGTGAAAATGGTGCTATACTGTATTTGACGTCATCGGAGAATGAAAGAAATTTCCCATCATTGAATCAATGCCTCATCCGGAGAAAGGATTAATTTAATTGAGAAAATAGGAAAGATTGGCAAAACATTTCTATAAACAAACCTATTTGAATAGAACTTATATGAAACAAAATATATTACATGGAACTAACTCTTTGCATTATTTATCCTTTTGTAACGAAATTCCAAATCATCCCTTAGTCTCTCGTGGAACATCATTTTAAGACACCGATTGCCATCAAACAATCACAGTCGAATGATTTCAATGAGAAGAAAAATAAAGCGCGTTGTGTTTTTTTGCAAAAATATCGTTCATACCAAAGATCAGTGTCGTAAACTGACTGCGAAAAATAAATCTATGGTCAGTGGCGCTTCATTAGTTGACACGGGTCAGAATTCGGAACAAACGGGTTCGGTTATGGTAACTACACAGCCTATTCGCGTCAGCGCTCACACTTCTTCGGGTGTAGCATGCTATCGGTGTGGCAATCCTGGTTTTGTTCGTTCTAATTGTCCAAGGTGTAGAAATTCATCAGTCCATTGATTTTTCTAGTGCAGACATTAAACCAAACGATGCTACTTGGTATTTTAACGATGAAATAGGTGATGCAAATGACCCGGCAAACACGGTGCATCAGTTGTGTTTTGAAGACCTGTTGTCCACCAATCAAGTACCAGTATCAAGCCTTAAACCATTGCGTAATGAAGAAAGACATATGCATGGGCGCCGCCAGGATCAGTTCCAGGGAGGTGCATACGGGCAGTGGCGGCGCGTGAATTGTTATATTGGTTCAAATTACTAATTTAAGAAGGTGAATGCCCGACGCAGGAGCTGCCGTAGGCGCGAAAATTTTTCCGGGTGCCACGTCCAAAAACGGTTCTTTTGAGCTTTCAGAAAAATAATTTTTCTAGGTGATTTAGGCCCGTTTGCACAGACCATTTTAAGGAAGCCTTAGCGATAAGTATTCCTTAAAGAGACGTTTCTCCATGTAAAAATGTAATTTTAAGGGATATTTATCGCTAAGCCTTCCTTAAAATGGTCGGTGCAAACGGCCATTAGTAAATTATATGATGTTTTCACCTCGTGGAAAGTGGCGGATCTAGGGACGAGTGGCTTATCCTATCCCTTGAGCAGTGGCGCACCCAGAAAATAGGTTTGGGGAATGGGGGGACCCTACAAAGGTTGTGGCTTGTGTCTAAAAATCTAAATAAAAAATTGACGTGTCAGGGTGCCACGCCATGATGTCAAATTTTTTTGTACGTAAAGATACAGATTTGGACGGGCGGCTTAGTGGGGGCCCTGGACCTATGATCCCCCCCTGGGTGCGCCACTGCCCTTGAGTGTTACGTAAGAAGTTAAAGAAAGGATAACGCACACCTAACATTGGATTTTTGGGCTCTATGGATTTTGCCCATTTTTTGATATGTTGTAGAGGATTTAATTCTGAACAACCTTTAAATGGGACGAAGTCGAGTAGGTATTACCACAGTATATACAAAAACAATCAGCAGGCTAACTCTCACGCGCATCTTTTCTGCGCACGCCGCCATTAGGGGATACCATCCTGTCATTAAATTTATTTGTTTATTTCTGACGGAGGTCATAGGCGTGCGATGGAGAGCGGAATTTCAGTTATGATTTTCAAAGTGACTTTAGTTTATTCGTGTTGTCATTTATGGTGTTATCAGTTATCATTCTTGTATATTCAATAATAATAAATTAGTAATTATAAATATTATTATATGTAAGTAATAATAAATTAGTTTATTTAAAGCCAATACGACTCTGTGACACGAAAAAAAAATCTAAATTATTGTTAATCAGGCCCTGTCTCGTATTCCAAAATGGCCGCTAGTGACATCCCGACCATGAATTCCTTTATTACACGGGATGTCACTCAAGTTAGCCTGCTGATTGTTTTTGTATATGCTGTGGTATTACCAACAGTAATGTGCCTGTAGACAATGTCAACGTAAACAATTGATTGTCTACGCGTAGACAATTCGAATTGTCTACGTGAGCATTTGTCTACACATTGTCTACATGCGGCGTAAACAATAACTTATTCCAAAAAAATCGAAAAAAAATATCAAAAGTTACTATACTATCACTATTACTTCGATATTAGCATTCACTGATTATAAAGTATCAGAAAAACCAATAATAAAATAAAAATAATTAAAAAAAAAGAAAAGTGTGAGGTTAGAATTAAACGTCATTTATATAATTTTACATTGTTGACACGTTGTCTACATTGTCTACATTATCTACACGTAAAGTAGACAATGAAAGTCTACGTGTAGACGCACATCCCTGATTACCAATGAACTGTAACCAAAAACTGGAATGCTCACACATATTGACGAACGTGAAGCCTAGTGCCGCTGCTGCGGAGGGGATACCTGTTTTTGTTGCACTCATTATGTTAAATGGCAGAAATCGCTTCCAACACGTATTCCAATTGATGAAACCTATGAAGGTAAATATGACAAAACTTTCCAAAACGTCATATGTCAGCGAGCAACAGAAAAAAACAACATTCCCCTTTGTGGCATCTGTCTTTCATGGCTTTATTTTTTTGGCAGATATGGCAATGTGTGCGCATTCCAGTTTTTGGCTATAGTTCATTGGGTATTACGGTCTTTGACATATGAGCGTTGAAAGATGAACTTTTTTGCGACTTTTTGTGTGGAGAGTATACGAAAAACTGGTGTTTATCAGTCAAAATATTGAAAGGTCGACATATTTCA